TTTTTTGAGACAGAGTCTCACTTTTCCTCCAGGCTGGAGTGCAGTGGCGCTATCTTGGCTCACTGCAACCTCTGCCTCCTGGGTTCAAGTGATTCTCCTGCTTCAGCTTCCCAAATAGCTTGGACTATAGGCATGTAGCACTACAGCTGGCTAATTTTTGTATTTTTAGTAGAGACAGGGTTTCACCATGTTGGCCAGGGTGGTCTTGATCTCTTGACCTCACGATCCACTCGCCTCGGTCTCCCAAAGTGCTGGGATTACAGGCATGAGCCACTGTGCCTGGCCAGAAAAGGACAATGAATAGCATATGCAAATTTAGGACAACACAGCTTTCCCAGGGCAACTATTCATTTGGCATAACCTGAATTGGGCTGGCCACTTGCAGGTTGTGTATCTCTGAGCAATTGACTTGGTGTCTCTGAGGCTCAGAATTTACATTTATGGGAAAAATGGGGGAAAAAGAAAAAGAAAAAAGAAAAGAACTACAATGGTTGGGAAATTAGGTAACAGAATATATATATATGCAAAACACAGTGCTTGGCATACATTAGGTGCACAAGAAACGTTCTTTCTTATTCATCCATTATTGTCACATGGTTCTAATTCATTATCTTCTGTGACCCAGGTGGCTTTCTTCCCTTTCTCACTCATTCCTGAGCCTAGTAGCGAGGCCCCCCAACTTCCACAGACTTTTCCTCAGGCAGGAAACCCGAGCCCACTGTCGGGCCTAGGACAGCTTCTAGGGCTGTGTGGTTTGTGTTATTTCTTCTCTTCTCTCTCTCTCTTTCTCTTTTTTCCTAAATGCAACAAAATAAAACCAAACAAAAAGCCCAACGCCTGGCGTGGCTTGTCAGAGAGTTATGCAAGTGTGTAAAAAAATAAAATAAAATAAACATTGAGTTTTCAGCATTTGGGGCTGTTTGATTAGACACGGAGCAGAGCCAAGGGCTGGTTAGATGCAGGGAAGGCTCAGGGCAGAGGGGAGAGGGGAGGGACTTGAGAGGGGGTTGGAGGTTGGAGGGAGGCCCCTGGACCAACTCGGAAATGGCTGTTTGCCTCCTGCAAACTTGGCAACGCTCTGGCTGAATGAACCCAGACGCTGGGCATTTGGGACCCAACTGCTCCACTTTCTCCACCATCCCTGTTCCCTGGCCATCAGGACCCTCTAGGGGTCATTCCATCCATTCTTCTGTCATTGTAAATGACCCTGTGCCCTTGACTCAATAGTCAGGGCTCCCCCCTTCTCTCCTAAGAGGGAGATTCCACAGCCTATTTTGATTACTCACCCCCCTCACACACACACAATCAGTACATCTTTTCTGCTCTAGCTTAACTCCCACTAACTACAGTTTTAGCCCATTTCCCTTTCCCAATCTGAAGTGAAGCTGGAGAACAGCTGTTTGCCACTCTAAGTGAGTCTCCTTCCCTCCCTTCTTCAGGCTTGACTTCAACATCATCCGGGTCACTGCAGGTGTCTGCAGCCCTTCAAGACTCATTCCACAAACATTTATGGAGTTCCTACCATTAACCAGGAGTTTGCAGCCTTCATTTCATTGAACCCTCAAAACATGAAAACTTTCGATTCAGAAAGGTAAGCAACCTAGGCATGACCACACAGCTGGTAGCAATGGAGCCAGACATGATTCTAGGTGTGATTCCATCATCTCCCTCACTCTCACCTGCCAGCTGCCCCTGGAGGTGTCCTCACCTCGGTGCTCAGGATCTGATAGCCTTCATATTTCTTCTGCACTGAGAAGATGCACAGAAGATTTGACCTTGAAGGGCGAGAGGGTGTGGTCAGAACCACAAGGCTCTATTGAGCCTATTCCTTGTCACTTTCTGGGTTCCTGATGGGGGAACTGAGGCTTTCATGAGGGTCTTTGGCCCCGATCTGACCCCAAGATGAGCGAAGTTGTTGCAGGTTCTCTGGCTGCGTGGAATCCCCGGGACGAGGGGCGGGACAGGGGACAAAGGCAGAGGTCTGCCCCAGGGTCCCGGGGACCTGTCCCTCGGCCAGCCCCGTGCTCGGAGCGCAGGGCGCCAGCTTCGGGCAAGGACGTGCGGACTCCCGGGCCGGAGCTCCAGTCCGTTTTTTCTTGCGGATCCCTGGAAGGGGGGCCGGTTCGGGGGTGGGACTGCGAAGGGGGGGATTCCCTCCCTCGTGCTCTCGGAGGACTGGCCCCTCTCCGGGCTGGGAGCTCCGGCCGAGCGGAGGCACGACGGAGAGCACCAGCGCAGGGCAAAGAGCCGGGAGCGGCGGGCCAGAGTAGGGCATTCACTCGGGTGCTGCAGAGAACCGGGGCCGCTCCGAGCCGCCCCTGAGGACCGATGCGCCGGGTGGGGCGCTGGCCCCGAGGGCGTGAGCCGTCCGCAGATTGAGCAACTTGGGAACGGGCGGGCGGAGCGCAGGCGAGCCGGGCGCCCAAGACAGTCCCGCAGCTGGCGGGTGAACGGACCGCGCCCTCGCCCCTCCCCGGCCGGCCCCCCCGCGACTGGCAGCACCACGGTGAGTCCCCTCGTAGCTGCCCCGTCCTCCTCCCCAGCGCCCCCTTTCCCGGGAGCTGGGGTGCGGCGGGCCCTCCCGTCGGGGCTGGTTCGGGCTGGGTGCTGGGGGTAGACAGCAAGAGAAAGGGGGAGACAACACTGATCGCTCTCCGGTCGGTGATCAGGAGAGGGCACCTCCTGCACCCCCTCCTGCAAGTCTACTGCGCCCGTCGGCCCTCCATCCGGCGGGCAGCACCCTCCCCTCGAACTCTCCTCCATCCCGCAGCTCCGGGTGAGCGTCCTCATTCGCAGTCCTGAATTTGCCAAGTCCACCAGCCCCGTTCACATCCCGCCTCCAATCCAGAAGTTCTCAATCCCTGGTCTCATTGACTCGGATTTCCCCAAGTCCCACGGTCTCTGGTGACCCCCACCCCGGTCCGCAGTCTGGACCTGGGTTCGACGTGGCAGGCGGCATGCGAGATGGCCCCCGGTGCGCAGCCAAGTGACTCGGCTCCCTGGCCCTCGGGGTCTGGCGCTCTGGAACTGATGGTATCGCATAGCTGGGGAGAGGTGGGGGTCTGTTCGCCCGGGGCTCCCAGTAGTACCGGTACGGACTTGGGGCAAGGGTGCTTGGGGTGCAGGAGTTTTCTTGTGAAACTGGCCTCTCGGACGTGGACAGCTCTCTTGGCTCTTGAGGGATAGCCAGAGGGGCCTCAGGTCCGCATCTCCCTCGGCACCTGTTGGGGCCTCTGCGGGATAGTCGGGGAGGGAAAAAGAATGTGCGCGCTTGCGGGGGGGTAATGGAGGGGTGAAGAAAGCTTCCTCCTCTGCCCTTGGTTTTGGGGGCGGGGGCGCTGCCCCAGCACCTGGCTTGGTTCCGACCGACAGGCTAATCCGGACAGGTCGGACAGACACTTACTTGGTCCCACCCCCCACCCGCAATTCTTCTGCCCCCGCCTGCCAGCCTGCTGGGCCGCCAGAACTCCCCAGCCTGTAGTTGGCCCGGGCCGGGGGAGGGCTAATGAGAAATTATCTGGATAGTTTACATTTTGGGGTCTGTGTCTGGCCCCTGACGGAGTACCGCTTTATTCTGACAGTGTTGCAGGCAAGAAGGTGAAAGTGTTTCCAGCCCCCTCCTGGGACTTTCTGCCCTGAGATCCATCTCTAGCTGTGTCCCCTCCCCAGCCCCTGCCCTTCCCTCCTAGACGCCTGTGGCCTCTCGCTTTGGTCTCCCGTCCCAGCTCTGCCTCTGCCCCCAGCCTCTTCCCCACTTTGCAGGTCCACTCCCCAACTGGGCTTGGCCCCACAATCCGCAGCTCCCTGCGGGTTGCCCTGCCCTCCCCACACCCAGTCTGGGTAGCAAACCTGAGGACTGGTCACTAACTAGGTCTGTAAGCCCTGAGACCCTTAATCACTCAGGGCCAGGTCTCTCTCCCTGTAAAATGGAAGTACTTCTACCTTCCTCCTTCCATTGTGACATGGCAGGTGGTGGAAGGCATCTAACAAGTGTGAATCCCTCACCCCCACAGTGGCAGAGTGCAATGCCCTTTCTTATCCACACCAATACCTGAGGCACTGCCAGCAGTTCCCATTCTATCTGTGTAGAGCAAGCCTCAAAAAATAAACTGCCAGTGCCGTATCACCCAAAGCCCAAAGGAAATCAGAGGACTCAGAGAAATGAGGCAGGCTGCTTAAAAGGGAGTCGTCAGCTCCTAACTGCCCTCTCAGCCCTCGTCCACGCTGTCCGTGTCTGCAAGTGTGTGTGCATGTGTGTGCGCATGCGGGGTCAGGGACTACCTACAGGAATGAGGCAGGGATCTGTGGCCCTCTGGGACTTGGTGCTACAGGGTTCCTAGTTCAAGACCTGTACAGCATTTCAAATCAGATTTCTTGTAAGATCCTGGATTTTCCACTCCTCTTTTGAAAAATCAGAAGACCTGGCAACAATCAGCCAGAGCTGAACAGCATATGCTCCCTTTAGATGGGGCGTTTGCCCTCCGGTTTACCCCCTCCACATCCAGCTTCAATCGTATATGTCATTTGTACCCCCTGGTATTGAGGAGCTCTTAGCCTCTTTACAGGATTCATTCTATATGTACCTTTTCAAGAAGTGCTTGCAACTCTTCCCATCCCAGGGGTGAGGGAGGCCAGTGTCACTTGCTTCAGTGAAATTCACATCTGGATCCTTCTTACGATTTCCCAGCTGAGATTGTGGTTCCCTGGTAATTCAGGTGGGAGTGGGCCAGAAGATCACCACTGGCAAGGACTGGGTGAGTGTGGCAGAGGTCAAGAAAACTAGGACCTGGGAGGATTGAGGAGGAATTTAGAGGGAGAGGAGAGGGAGGGAGCCAACATTTGCTGAGCACTCACCCTGAATTGCCAGACACCATGACAGGTGGGCATAAGGAATGCAGAGATGCATAGTGGACCTTTTGTGCCCCGAAGAACCCCAGGATATTAATTACACAGAGTCCAATGTCTTGCAGACCTAGGGTTAACACCAAGTTTGTCTAATGCAGTGTTTGTCAACTGTAAGGACCCATGGAACAGATCTGCCAGGGATTCTCAGACCTCAGTTTGAGAAATGCTGCAATTAAAGGCAAATCCTATCACTCTGAGTGATCGCTTTGGTGTCGAGGCAATCAACCATAAAGATAAATGCAAATATGGAAATTGCATAACAGTGCTCAGTATTAAGGTTAGTATCCAGATGATACAGAACATGTTCATATTGCTTTTTGAATGATCATTAGCACATAGACTCAAAATGAAGCTTTGGTCGTAACAAATACAGCAAATATTATTGAGTCAACACTATGTACCCAGCACCATTCTAAGCAGTTTTATATATTAGCTCAGTTAAGTCATAAACAACAATAACCTTCTTGCAGATAAGAAAACAGGCTCAGACCAGCTAAGCAAGGTAACACAGCTAATAAGTAGCAGAGCCAATATTCAAAGCCAGGTGGTCTGGCCCTGAAGTTTATGCCCGTGACTACCACGCTATACAGGCCAGCCTCTGAGACCACACACTTGGGCCTGAAGACCCCAGTTTGATAAACTCAACTGGACATCTATAATTTGTAGGTGATAGAAGTGTGTAGTGGGGGCTGGGGAGGATAGAAAGGCTTTGGTAAGTCAGGCAGGGAGTACTGGAGGGGCGTGCAGGAGTTGGCAGCTGACGGGCATTTGGGGGTGGCTGGGGGCATCTCCGCTGGCTCCAGCCACAGCACCAGGTGGGATCTATCAGCCTCGTGTAAACACTTCTCACAGGCAGCTTAACCACTTGAGTGTGTCTGGCCTTCAAAGCCAGCGGGAGAGGCCAAGGAGGGAGGTACTGAACTCCCTTAGGGGATAATGATTTATCTCCCGTGCAGGTGGGCTCTGCTGGGGCCTCCCTGAGAGGCGAGGGGGTGGGCTGGCACTGAAGAGCCTAGAGGGTAAAGGGTTAGGGGGGGGGGTGGGAGGGGCACCTCCATTCCAGCACCTCAGATTTCTCATTCCTGAGCCTGAATTGTGACTCTTGGTTAGCCTGTGACATAGTCATGCTTGTCCCCATTTGATAGATGTGAAACTGAGGCTCAGCGAGGCTCCATGACTTGTTCAAGGACATCTAACTAGTGAAGGGGAAGGTGACGGCCCCCTGGCATCCACAGAGGCTTTGTGCTACAGACCTGCAGGCTCTGTGGTGGTGTGGGTGTGTACGGGGGAGTGTGGGGTGTACGTGGGTGGGTAGCTGCTGTGAAAGAACACTGGGGCGTCGGAGCATGAGCGTGTGACCCTGTGAGGGGAAGCAGGGTTTTCATTCTCACTCCCAGGTTGGGCTCAGATGTCCAACTTCCCAGACACATCTGATCAGGGGAGGGACCGGCTCCCCTGCCCCCATCACCCCAGCCGGCCAGCGGGTCCAGAGACCTGGCTCTCGCTGGGCTGGGGGATTATCCCCATTCTCTGTGTCTCTGGCCAGGGCGGGCATTGCTGCCTCTTTTATCCTCTCACAAAGGCCAGGCCCGCCGGGCCTGCTGTGTCAGAGTTTCTGTGGCCGGGGGAACCTTACTTCCTTTTCTCCCGCCAAGCCCAGAGGGCCACCACGCAGAGCCTGCCAGCTTGCTGGGGGCCACTGCTCTAGCTCCAGGACAGGTGAAAGGCACGTGGGTGGCTCAGCCCTGGGAAGAGAAGGCTGAGGGGTCACTCATGGAAAGACAGAGAGAGCTCCTCTTCGAGAGACAGGCCATTACTGCAGCATGAGATCTGTAGGGTAGACTTAAAGAAGGACTTCCAGTTAGAGCTGGACAATGGCAGGCAGGGGACCAGCTGACTCCCATTACTGAGAAATCATCAGTGACCCACAAGTTTGGTTTGAACGTCCACCATATTCTGGCTACACAGGTTGCCAGCTACAGTCCCAGTTTACGGAATTCTGCAAGATAGGAAAAGGACTGGGTTTCTTCTAGAAGGGTGCTAGGTGGGTAACTCGTAACGTCCAAACATTTTGAGCTCCCACAGTCTTCTGGGTAGGGTAGGAGGCATAAGTGGGAGGACCCCGGTACTGTAGAATTAACCCTTCTCTCTCCTTCCCGCACAGGTTGGTTTTTGGAGTAGACCCTGCTGACGTGACACAGAGATCTCCCATGTGACACTCCGAGGTGCCTTTGAGGAAGTCTCTCTTTGAGGACCTCCCTTTGAGCTGATGGAGAACTGGGCTCCCCACACCCTCTCTATCCCCAGCTGAGATTATGGTGGATTTGGGCTACGGCCCAGGCCTGGGCCTCCTGCTGCTGACCCAGCCCCGGAGGTGTTAGCAAGAGCCGTGTGCTATCCACCCTCCCCGAGACCACCCCTCCAACCAGGGGCCTGGAGCCGGCGCGTGACTATGCGGCTTGGGCTGTGTGTGGTGGCCCTGGTTCTGAGCTGGACGCACCTCACCATCGGCAGCCGGGGGATCAAGGGGAAGAGGCAGAGGCGGAGTGAGTAACGGAGTAGGGTGGGCCACAGCCGGCCTTGGGAGTGGAAGGGGGCCACCTGGGAACTAGGGGTCTTCAGGAGTTTTATTCCATCATGACCCCTGCAGATTTCTTCTCTGTCCATTACAGCTTTGTAGATTACTCAATAGATGATCCTGTTTGTGGATTATTCATTTGGTGGATTAATTTGCTGAGATTACCCACTCTGTAGATGACTCACTTTGTCTGTTTTCCCCTTTGTAGACTCTGCTTTCTAGATTAACCCCTCTCTTGTGAGGATCCAGTTTGTGGATTACGCCTTTGAGGATTACGCGCTTTGACATAACACCATCTTTGTGTGGTATCCATGGAGATGCTTCCCCAAACCCCCTGCCCTGGGGCTCTTTTTTTTGGCTAACGTGCAGCCCTCAACCCTTTTGGGTTAGGAGCTCTGCACAGCTTAGCACTGGGCAACAGGCCTTCCCCTGCCCAGATCATGGGGCAGGAGCCGTGGAGTAGGGAGGGTGGGGAGACTGTCCACTGCTGTGGCTTTTAAACCATGCCCAGCGGGACTCAGGGAGCTACAGTGATGTCGAAGGGGAGACAAGCAGGCAGGGGTCTGGCCTCTCCACCCTTCAAACCAGAGCAGCCTCAGGTTCCCCTGCTTTTGGTAATAAGCGTCCACGTAAGATGTCATTGGAAGAGAAGGTTCTCATGGCTTAAAAACAAAACCAAAATCCTATCGTTGTACAGATGCTAAGAAAGGGGACAAAACCGTCCCAAGGAGATACAGTTGATGTTGGAACCCAGGTCTCCTAATGCCTGTGGGCCCAGTCTTCTTGAAAGCCGAGTTTGACAGAGGTCAAGGGCAATCTGTCCCCAGCCCCTTGATGGACAGTCTTCAGATTCGGCTTAAGATCTCCAGTGATGGGGCCCCAGTGCTGTGGGGGTGGCCACCATGTGTGAGGGGCCCACACAAAGGAGAGGGTGGGGGATCCAGAGTCCTGAGTCCTCATCTGTCTTTCGACAACCCCCACGAGAAGATGCCACACCCACAGGCAGGAGGTCTTCCTGAAGTCTAGCCCAGCTCCCTCTTGCTTCATGTTTCCCTGCAGACGGAGGCCCCCCAGTGAAGGCTGAAAGGCAGTGGGGTTTTGCTGGGGCTCCAAGGGAGCAGCCAAGGCCAGGACTCAGCCCAGGGAGTGAGGCTCAGAGAATTGGTGAAGCTGAAAATCCCTGGCTTAACAAACAATTAGAGACGGTTAGGTTTAATCAGCAGCAAGGCCTTGATTTTCCTCCCTTCTCATCTGTTGTGGCCAGTATTTTGGACTCCATGGGCCAGAAGCGGTTTAGCGGTTTATAATCAGTCTCCTGTATTTCCGAAACGAGAGAGACAGAGAGAGAATGGGAAGAACCATTCACGCTCCTGCGACATGCTCATGTTCCTATCACTGACCCTCACGCATGCAGAGCCTCACACCCGCCTACACCAGACCTAAGTTCAAGCCTGTTGTATTAAAAAAGAAAAGGAAGTGGCCGGGTGCAGTGGCTCATGCCTGTAATCCCAGTACTTTGGGAGGCCGAGGCGGGCGGATCAGGAGGTCAGGAGATCGAGACCATACTGGCCAACATGGTGAAATCCCGTCTCTACTTAAAATTTAAAAAAAATTAGCTGGGCGTGGTGGCGAGTGCCTGTAGACCCAGCTATTCGGGAGGCTGAGGCAGGAGAATTGCTTGAACCCGGGAGACAGAGGTTACAGTGAGCCGAGATCGCGCCA